CGTCAATAGTTACCGAGTAATTTGCAAAAAACAGTTTTTTCGTTTTTAGTCAATAACTCGTTAAATATTAATGCTAGCGAAATATTTTTACATGGAAATTGTAGATCTCGTCGTCCCCTACAAAATGGCCCTATAAATTTCCCCTTTAAGTCCATCCGTTTGGGAGTTATCGGCAAAAAACGAATTTTTTTTCCAAAAGTTCGCTGTTTCATCGCTGGGATGGTCGGATTTTGTCAACATCAACAAAATGCCACATAATCATATGTAACTCATTAAATATCGAAGTTAGGAGGAAAATAACTTTTATTTGAAGCATTTCTCGCAATTTTGAAAAAATAAATTTTTCGTCCGCGTCAATACTTAATTGGATATTTCCTTCTATACTTTTTAGCACGTAGCTATTTATTATTAGCATTATTCTTCCGACGTCTGATTTCTTTTTAATTATAGGAAATGCGTTTTTCTAAGGTACATAAACTTTTGGGATTGACTGTATAGCTAATACATCCTTAATGCACTCATCCGAGCATACTCGGGTTTAAGAAAACGGTTCTTTTCCGCGCGCCTGAGTTAAGGATGTATTGGCTATACAATGAATCCCAAAAGTTAATGTACTTTAGAAGAACGCATTTCCTATAATTAAAAAGACATCAGACGTCAGGAGAACAATGATTTTGACTACTCTTTTTTTATTACTCTCATTTTTAATGATGCGTGAGTTAAGGGGTTAAAATGAAACTGTGAACCCTGATCGCATTGGGTTCGCGAAATCCTCTTGGAATAATCGTAAATCGATGGCGAAAAAGATTGCTGACTGCGAGGAGATATCTCCTTGCGTTGCGCACAAAATTGCTTTGGAATTGTTTGAAATTTCGGACCCGAGTGGCAAGCACGTTCAGGTTCAGACAAGGAGATCTGGTCTTCTAGCTCGAAGGGTAGCTTCCCGTTTCTGTCTGCGAGGCAACGCAAGGAACGGAGGGGTTATAATCTGTATTATCCGTCGACTATTAGCGTCGAGAGGATCGAGAGCGCGCGGATTACGGTGGATACATCGCCTAACATTATGCGTAACGCTTTACGCGAAACGATGAAATCCGTCTCCCCTTTAATTAAACGTTCGCACTGAGACGTTGCTCGTCATCTCTCGATCGATTGTGCGCCGATCGACGATCTTGTTTCTAAATATGCGCTAAATCACGCGCATGCAGATGATGCGGGAAGCCGGAAAATCAAAGTGTACATCTCTGATTTGGCGTCAAAAAATCGTGCGGTAACTGCACCCCAAGGGGCGTGACGGCCCGGGGACAGGCAGGGACACCCTTCTTTCCTCGTATCCGATGTACAACTGTTGGCCTATTAAACTAATTGACTGCACAGTATGCCAGCGTGCCCGCAACGATGCCTGCACAGTTACAAGGATGTAATCGTGTTTCCCATATGCAACTTGTGCCCGACTCGAAACTCGCAACCCTCGCCTAAATAATTATCTACACATCATCGCCTCCGAACAAACGGCCGGGGGAACTCGTTATGCCATACCCGTTATCGAATTAATCCCGAGATCGTTTCCTCGAAGTACTCCTGAGTTGCAAGGTGAATGCGGTTTTAAAGAAATTAAACGAATCGACATCGCACGAATAAAATCTCGGGTAGACGACGGCATCGATTAAGTAGCTTCGCATCCTAGTAGATTTCACAAAGAGGAACTTGTATACCTGCACGTCACAGGCCCGTAGGTAGCAACGACCCCCCCCGAGATTTTGCGAATGGTACAAATCAGCCGCACGCTCATCAGAAGCTGTACTGGTGGCTTTAATACTCGACACGCGGCGGCCCCGTCAAAGCGATCCATACGGTTATTTAGTAACGATAGTCAACCGAAGGGCCATCTTTAACCCAGTCTACCTCTTTTGTCCGGGATCTAGTTTGCGGCAGGTTAATACCTTCTGCAAAGCAGCTTAATCTTTTCATTCACGATCGATCGCGAGTACTCGCATTAATTGAACGCGAGCAATCATTTCTATCTTCTCGTTAATCGAGTCCATCGTAATTAGACCTGCGATGCTTGCGCAAACGTAAAAAGTAAAATTGTTGCGAGGGGACATGTCGTCCTATCGAGTTACGAGTTGCTCTTCACGCTCCGCCGAAGCAACCAGAACGGAATATCATTTTTTAAGCATCGAGTACAAGGGGACGGTCGTGGGGCGAGATCGGTGACATTAATAAAATAATGCAGTCACGGATTTGGAAATAGTCGGACGCGTATCGGGGATGGCACGGGCGAGAGGGGTGAAACGGATACGTTCGAGCGACCTTATGTTCCCTGCGTTCTCGCTTTTGTCTCTGTTCTCGGTACGCTCGAAAGGCGTAACGTCGCGCTGGAGCGAGAGGAAGCAACGCGGCGGCGTAATTGGCAGGGGATATTTATTACGACACGTGTAGATACGCCAAAAATCGTAATGGTCAATCGAGGCACGAAGCTGCGGTTCGTCGAACGATGATTCGTTTCAGGCAGTCACCGACAAAGTTTGCGTCATCGATACGTTCGGTATTGCCAAAATAAATGAATACGAGATCTGACGGTATGCTACTTGAAAAATTGTGCTTTAAACGTCTTTCACAGAACTTTAACGTCGCTGCCTGACACGCGCAGGAACGGCGAACGATTTCAATGTAGTACATACATATCTGTGCACGTAGCTCTACTTCGAGTATGACCATAATGTTCGTTAAGTACGTGTTTGTAGTTACCCCTGAGGCGAACCAGCCACCCCCGCGATGCGAGTCGGCCAAGGGACCGATGCTCCGCCTTCATCCCCGTTATCGTCGCCATGGGGTTGGTCGCTACGTGGCTGGCATAACTCGGGGGCGGTTCTTCGTCATCCTCTACCCTCTCCGTCCCGTTCAACTACCCCTTCTGTCTCTCTCGGTCCCGACGATGTCGACGGGAGCCGAGAGAGGAGACGAGATTTCGAAAAGTGTGGTTGCCCGAACGCGGACAGTCGCTCGTAGCCACCCTTAACGCGATCCTACGTCTTCCGCGGTGTCTCGGGGTTCCATCGAGGAGAAACTCTGCCGAGAACTCGCGGGGCTGAACGAAACGAGCGATAAGGACCGGTTCAGTAAGGATTACGCTGTCGGTCATTCAAACCTGCGGCCGCAAGTCTTCGTTAAACAGGTACTTATCGTTGCGACTATCTTTGGCATGAAATTTTCCTCACGTGTCATCCGAAACGCTAGGCGATTCGTCGATTGTCGATGAAAATCCTGTGCCAGGGATAGCGTGTATTCTTACGTAAAAGTGAACGGAAGAAGTACGTCGGTATGAATGGTTAAGAGTGCGCGTGTTTCTTCGATCAGATTCGTGTCAACAGAAATTGTCAGATTCGAATTATCGTGAGACAGGTGAATATGAATCCACGCGCTTAACGCTTGCAACGTTCCAATTTACGGTACGAAGTTGAATGCTGTTGGTAAAAGAAATTGTGCCCAATTCGCGGGCGTTGTAAAAATCGTTGTAGGACTGTTCGCAACGTCTCTAAAGTAAATTGATAGTCGATTCACGGGTCTGGGGATAAACTGGTCCCGCGGGACAAGCGGGAGTCGGATCCACCGGCAAGGGTGAGCCTCGTTCGATGTACACACGGGCAAGCAAACACCATAAACTGTTTGTCCAGAGATTAGCCGGGTGTCGCTTCGGATTCAAGTCGCGAAAGACCTTGAAAACAACAACCTGTTCCGTTTTAGGGACGCGGGAATTAATGGGAACGAGTTTTAGGGCTCAGGTGACCCCACGGAAAAGTTCCACCTACAAGCGCCTGGGAGCAATTTCACGAGTTACTAAAGTTTCCCGGGTTCGAGTAATTTTTCGCTTGGCTACTCGCGAACGATCGTTCCTCTTTTCTTGGACCGTCGCTGAGAAATAGAATATATCCGTCGTTCTCTCCAAGCATACTTTTTCTCCGGTTATCATTATCGTTTCTCTACTGAAGCTGGTAATCGTAACGAGAGGAAAAGAGGACAGACAGGTGTTGCGAGACGAGGGGGGAAGGAGGGACGTGTTCATAATGGAAGCGCAGAGATTTAACAACGTTACAATGAACGGAACCGAGAGGAGCCCGTCCCTCGGACCCTCGGAAGGCGGCCCCCGACTCCAGAACCCGAGGATCGCAGATTGAATTGTAAAATAACCGAGAGGGGAACAATGCACCGCGGTACAACATTGTGTTTGCATTTAAATAATCCGCGAGCACCGCGGATAGCGTAGCTCATCCCTGCGACTTCGTTTTCTCTCCCTCCGTCTCCCTCCGTCTTTGCCGCGCACAGCCCGTCCTCTCGGCGTTCGCTTCTTTTACTTACGCAACCTATACATATAGTGACACACCGTTTTCTACGAAGGTACGACTTCATTAACGCACACGAGAGAGCTGATCATAAATACATTTCTTTTCTCGAAGGCACGCTCCGCGTTTCGTTTAACTCGACCGACTAATAACGGGAAACAAATACCCGCGACCATTAGTAGAACGTACGCGGCCTTTTCTAGTTTGTACTAATTGTAAGTAGCGAGTAATTAATGCGGTCGATTCGAGTCCGATCTGTCGAACCGCTGACCAACAGGGACCAGCGGAGAAGGGGTTCGCCAGAGCAGGGTTGCACGGTAGCCAGAATCGAGTGTGCAGGTACCGTGGCTCGCAGGTGTGTTGGCGCATACACAGAGGGACCGAGGAGGGGCGAGGGGGTCGTTCCACCTCGGATACCGGCATTGTTTCACGGTGGATGAGAATTTAATTTGCGCGACGAGGAGAGAGAGAGAGGGAACGAGAGGATAGATGCACGGAATAGAATAGAGAAGCGAAGCGGAAAGAGAGAAAGAACGAGGAGAGAGGAAGGGGCAGAGGGACGAGGGAGGGTCGGATGGGTGCTCCCTTGTTTAAACGTGGGTGGGGGTGTCAAATTGAATTACCCCCTGGTCCCCGAGGACGTTTGCTGGAACGCTGGCACTCTCTGCGCTCTTCTACTCCTACGTCGAGGCTATACCTACCAGCTTGTAGATGGGTTTTAGCCGGTTGCAACGTTCTACGTTTACGTGTACCCGCGCGCAGGGTGTATCTTCATAGAGAGAAGCGTTTTCAATTAAAACCAACACCGAGGATTGCCCCTCTCTCGTTCTCCCCTCACCCTTCCTATCGCGCTTTGCTTTATCTTCGTTCCATCGATCTCTCTTCCTCCGGTGCCTCCGCAAATTCGAATCGGTCCTTCTCTCGTCTTCCACCCCCTGTTTTTCCCTTCGTTCCTTTTCCTGTAGTTTCGACTTTATCCTTCTTATTCTTGTTTTCTACCCTCCCGACAGTTCCTCATAAAAAATTCACCGACTCGATAAAACCTCGTCGCGCGTTAAACTAATGAAAAGAGTTCGGCGCACGCTTATTGGTACTTCGTCTCTCGTCTTCAAGACAAGGATCCTCCGCCTCGAGTAAGAGGATAAGGGATCCTCCCTTCTCGTTCTGCCTTTCATTCAGTCACCGGTTTCTTTTCACCTTCGCCAAACGGAGACGTTTGAAAGAAGTCTTACGGAGAGGCTCGCTCTCCTTATTCCAGAGAAATTAGAAGAGAGAGAGAGAGAGAGAAACGAGCGATTCATGGATACCGCTAGCTAACGAATGTAAAACTAAATTCTCGTTTCTGTAAATGGGAAATAATGTTCGTTCTCATTGGCCGCGTTTCCTAAATTTATTTCAGCCGCGGACTAATTAGTTTAACTGTATTAAAAGAAAGCTCTTGATTAAAAAGCGAGCCGCTCGTCAGGTTAGAGATCCGTAGCAGAATAACTTGGGTTAAGTCCGTCTCGTCCGACGAAACCCTTTGAATTCGCTTAATTACCACGTGGTCAATGGCAACGATTTAAAAGGAAAGTCTTTTAACCGAGCATAATCACATTTCAAGTCCGGGTACGCGTTAGATCATCAATTGACCGCGAGACGAAAAAGAAGGCTGATTCAATCGGCAACCGTTCGACGTTAATAAATATAATTACTACGAGAGTGGTAGCGAGGATACATTTTTCGATCGCTGTTATCGGAAGAAAAGTACCGTCGGCGTTTATACAGGGTGGGCCGGAAATCGTAGTATAACCGGGCAGGGGGTGATTCTACGTTAAAAAAGAAGAAAATATTTTGGTATAAAATTTTTTTATCCGGAGCTTCGTTTTCGTGAAAATCGACTTCAAAGACTATTACGTAGTTTGATAAACTATAACTCTTATTGTAAACCGAATTGGGTACACACTTTTCCATTTTTGTCAATGTTTTTAAACACTGTTCTGAACGGAGACAACCAGAGCAGTGGAATACAAGACAACCAAATTGTACTAAATCGTTTACGAATTGAACAAACTTTCAACTCTGCCCAGTTGTACTACGATTTTCGGCCCACCCTGTATAATGGTCGATGTAATTCAAAAGGATGTTCATTAGCGTTATTATTGTAGAGAGAAACAATTTCACGAGAGGGCTGTGTGAAACGATGAATGCGTACGAAAAACTGATCCTACAATCATTTCGAGTTTTCTCTTTTATTTTTACAGAGAATGGACGGACCGGCGGTATTATCAATGCCGCCGATAACCGCACCCCAAAAATCAGCTCAATCGCCCCAGCCACAGTCGCACTCGAAATCCAATCAGGTATCGCGTCTGAAATTTTATTCTATAATCCGAATCAATGACTGGATGATAGTTTCACGGTTCGACGTACGTTCGATCGAGTCTGCGTCCGTGACTTAAACTTTTGCAAATTCGTGAAAGGGCCGCGTTGTGTACCTAAAGGTTCAGGAGTTGCAGGTGGGCACGGTTTCCCTCTACGGGATTCACATCGTGTCTCTGGTGATCGAGGGCCAGGAGAGGCTCTGCCTGGCGCAGATCAGCAACACGTTGCTGAAACAGTTCAGTTACAACGAGATCCACAATCGGAGAGTGGCTCTGGGGATCACCTGCGTGCAATGTACCCCGGTGCAACTGGAGATCCTCCGTCGCGCCGGGGCGATGCCGGTCTCTTCGAGGAGATGCGGTATGATTACGCGCAGAGAAGCCGAGCGTCTGTGCAAATCGTTTCTAGGCGATAACGCCCCGCCCAGGTTAGTCGAATCGTTCGGGAATAATTGAATCGAGAAAAACAGGATGCACGGAGCATCGCGCCAAGGAATTTGTCATTTATTTTCAAGACTGCCCGAGGACTTCGCGTTCTCCGTTCACCACGAGTGCGCTTGGGGATGCCGGGGCGCGTTTCTTCCGGCTCGATACAACAGCTCCCGAGCGAAATGTATCAAATGCGCGTATTGCGGCCTGTTCTTCTCCCCGAACAAGTTCATCTTCCACTCGCATCGAATCGGCCCGTCGGACAAGTACGTGCAACCGGACGCCGCGAACTTCAACTCGTGGCGACGGCACATGAAACTGTCCGGCAATCCGCCGGACGAGGTGGTGCACGCGTGGGAGGACGTCAAGGCGATGTTCAACGGTGGCACCAGGAAGCGTTTGCTCAACAATCCGGCGTCGAGCGAATCGCCGAGCTCGGCGAAGCAACCGAGATCGTCACCGACCACCCAGATCCCGGCTCTGGTGCCGTCGCCCACGCACCCAAGAGTGCCACCGTTTCCGGAACTGCCTCTACCCTTGTCCAGAAGCCTCGTCATGGACTACGTGTGGCATCAACATCAACAAGCGGCAGCCGTCGCCGCTGCGAAAACGCCTGGCTTCCCATTTTCGCCGTACGCGTTACCGTGGCTAGCGAAAAGAGGACCGGTTCTCTTTCCCGGTGAGTCTTCTATTTTTATTTCTGCCCTGATATCACTCAATCGTCCGAAAACTGTTTCCTGTGTGACAATAGTTTCGTTTCGTTTACTGTGAGCGAGCGAAAGTGTCTCTGAAGCACCAATTCGTTGACAGAATCGCGCTTGGACAGGTAACAAGTATTACCTATATACGGGTAATTCGCGAGCAGAAATTACATTGCGTAGCGCGGCAGAGTTCATTACTATAATTACATGGAAAATGTGAATGCGAAGAGTGGCACAGAAATTATTAATCGTAACGGCGGCGCGAAGCAATGGTGTTTGATAATAATTATTAATGCTCGCTACCTACATTCCACTGATCGATTAACGTCGCTATTTCGGTCCGTTCGACATATTAATATTAATCAATCGAGATTATTTTAACTAATAGCAGCCGAGTCCTACGCACGGTTATTCATTCAGAATGATCTCGCAAAAGTTTAAGCTTAAACTGCTTAGGGAATTAGTTGAACATAGCCAGTTACTATTTCAGATTCGATGAATTGAAATCTATTTAAGAAAAATAATTGATCATTTCGCAGGACCTTTGCCACCACCGATGAGCGGGTCCAGTCCCACGGAACCACTGATACCGACGGTAAGCCCGTCGCTGCATCAGTCCGCCTTCCGTCCAGTGATTCGGGGACCACCGATGGTCGAGCCGGTGGCCCAGGGACAACCGTCGGACACCTCAGCGTCCAATAAAGAGGACAACTCCGACGATGAAGTGGACATCGAGACGACGGAGGACGAGCCAATTGTACAAACGCCTCTGAACGTCGCTCAGAATCTCCATTCGAACTCGACTAGCCACGGTCGCACTTCGCCCCAGTGTTGGAGTCCACCTCGAGAGACGGTGAGCTTTGCTAATTATTTCATAGACAGACTGCGAATTTTTATCCAAAAGATCTTCGTTTTCTCTTGGTTTTTGCACATCGAACTCTTTTATGAACACATCGAATTCGCAGTCTACTGATCGAATATTCACCGACGGGCTTTCGATTAATTAACCAAGACCGCGTCGACCCCCTCGGAAACGCGAGGCCACGGTGTAACCTTTCCTAACAGCGGCCACGTGGCCATTGTTGCGCTCATGCAACCGAAGTGACGAAACTACTTCAACTCGTTTCGCAAACACTTGACCGTATATCGAGTAAAAATAATCCGTCGCGGGTAGTTCGCGACACAATCGCTTCCCGATTTCGACAGACACTCACGCACGCGACTACACGCGGATCAATGTTAAATAGAATCTACATAATGCGTTTCTAAACGACGCCGAATAATGGGATATCAGAGACAAAGGTTCGAGTAGGTATTGAATGTCCAATAATAACGCGGCTAAAAATATTGGCTGCCGCCCCAAATTAAAATACGAACGTGTAGCCTGATACCTACAGCGGAAGAAGTTATGTTTTCGTAGCAAACATTGGTAGGAAAAGGCAATACATTAAAGCATCGTCCGGGGATCTTTAATCATTGAGTGGTGAATAAAGCTATATATCCTGATCGTTTAATAGACGAAGTATATTTATGTTGGAGGAAAGGTAGCACCGGTGGACTTTACCCGTCCCCTCATGTAAACGAGGATCGAGATAACTCCAGGTTACCCGATATCGAGCGACACAACTTTAATCGAATTAAACGTACGAAGTCGTATCGAGCAATATTCTTGCTTACCGCGACCGACCCTGTTCCACAACAATTTATTGTGAATTATCTAACTGGGACTCGTCGCGATTTCCATCTCCGGCGCAGACGTTAATTATTAACAAGTGGCAAAAACGTCGATACACCAGGAAGCAAATCGTCGTGTTCAGTACTCACGACAGGAGGCAAGGAAATGGTTCTATAGTTAGACAGATAGATAGATAGATAATAGAAAGAGAGAGGTAGAGAGAATTGGAGGGTGAGAGGTTTCTGCCACGTAATACTACTCGACGTCCCTAGAATTTGCTCTGCGGTCTGACTGCTCGTGCCGCTGCCCCCGGTCAATTGCGATAATTATTGTGTCAGTAAATACTCCGTAACCATACGAACTAACGGGCTCGCGCGGCGATCGACTGGACGTAATATGTTCACAGAGAGCCGCGTGTGGATACACTTATGCCGGACGATATAATTAAATGAACGACCGCGATGTTATACCCGATCGTGTGACGCGGCGCGACATTCGAGGACCCAGCCGGAAATTAATTATTATCTGGATCGCGCCTGAACGACAATTTCGCTGATTCTTTCTTTCACCTCCTTGCGCAGACAAAATTTTCGAGTAATCATCTAATTGCCCCTCGCCTAAACAGAAACGAGAGTAAGAGCGGATGATAATAACGTATCGTTTGAAAGCTCGGCATCGTATTAACGTAGACAGTTTTATCATCTACGTAATCGCGATTCCCTTTTAGGCTTTTAAAAGTAGATACAATTAGCAATAATTATCCGGGAGAGGTAAACGAGGGACCGAAGGGAAAGGAGCGGGAACGAGGAGAGAAAATGGCTAAAGGGTACGGCAGGATAAGCCATCCGGATTGCCGGACAGCTTTTCAATTCCCCTTGTTGGTGAACGCGTCGAGTGGGACCGATCCGTATTTTGTGAAGAGACTCGCCAAAATCTCCTAACTCCCTCTCTCTCTGTCTGTCTCTCACTCTCCCTTTCACTCTCTTCTCGATGACACGCGTGTATATCTACACTTGACGAACAGACACATCCGTCGCTGAGGCACACGTATAAGGAAGAAGTGGAAAACCTAGTTACTGCATCGCGCGACACAAGCATATCGCGGTAACTATGTAAGCGAGTAATCCCCGAACGTTATTCGCAGTTATTTCTCGGTTCGACGGATCGGCGCGTTTTCATTTTCGCAACATCTGTTTTCGGTCCTCCTACACGCACGCAGAGGACACACGAACGCGTTGGTAATCGTCGCATCGTTATACGTGCAAAGCGAAAAGATCGCGAGAAGGAAAAAGTATAACGGCCGCGCTCCTTGGAGAATCTAATGGCTCTCCAGGCGGTCGAAGCGCAATTAAAAGTTGTGGTCGAAACTAACTAAACCAGTCGGAGTTTGATTTAAACGTTCCTCTCTTCTACGTGACGCCGTTTAATTGCATTTAAATGGATGCTGGAGGAGGTCCCTACGAGTGTCTTTCGTGCTCCCGGGGAATCCGACGCCGGGGGAAACCGACGCGGATGTTCGTTTAATCACGATCGACCGAAAGGACCTTAATTGACCGGAGGAGCGTCTCGAACCGATAATCGCCCCGTCCTTGTTTCGAGCACGTCCAACTATCTTCTCGCTCGAGATTTCGCGAACGGGAACACCGTTAGTTAAAATGTAAGCTGACATTTTTAAGCACCGTGAGAGTATCTCAAATGCCAAGGTCTGACCTTATACTCGTGGAATCCCTTGGGACTCCGCGATTAAATTGACTACGTACGCCACATGGAACATTTATCTATGCGCATCCTTTCGAAAAGTTAACCCGCTAACATTTACCAAATATAATTCCCTCGGAGCGAAAATTGTTACCGTGGCCGAAAAATTCAATGGACCAGCGGCCGCGTTTTATGTCCAGCAACGAGCTTTAAATTTTGAACCGCGGGCAAACGGAGAAGAGGCTCCGCTACGGAAAAACCGTAATCACGGGAAAAATTATTCATCGCGAGTGCCGGCATGCAATTACACGCGTCGCATTCGCGAAAACGAACAACATCACAGTCGTTGATTTAATGCAATTTGCTGGAGAGGCCGGCCGTAGAGAAATGTCATCGTGGGACGAAACGAAGGTCCGCTCTCTCTATGGAAGTCGTGGGCGGTGACTGTTGATTTAATTATAATCGTCAGCTCCGCCCAGCACCCTCGGATTCAACCCGACTTCCATCCTTTATTTCCCCGTCCGCTCTTTATTTCGTCCGCTGTCTCTCTTTTCTCTTTTACCGTGTCTATACGCCCGGTCTCTCTGTTCGTTCCCCTTTTGAAAATGTTTTCACCCCGGCGTACCTTTGTCGTTTGGACATAGGAGAACAGCAACGATTAACCTCTCGTTACAACGGTTAATTTGCATTGAGAGCAGCCGCTGCTAAATGAAACGAATACGAAACGGGACGTTGTCATCTCCTCGTCGATTAAATTATATCCGCGAAACGTGGGATTCGCGCGAATCGAAAGGATACTTAAAAATCGATCGATCTTACGATATCTGACTTCGAATTTTACGCACCACCTCGGATCGTTTCGAAATTGGCTGTGAAATAAAAATAAAAAACAGCCGCGCCCGCGACCGTGTCCGGGAAATGAATGTCGATACGTTTTGATCCGGTGGCGTCGCACCCTGCCGATGAAAAGGCACCGAAATTTTCAGGGATGAAACTCGTTAATTTCGGTACTGTATTCATAGCACAGTTCTCTGAATAAGAGGGCTTTAGAGCAAAATGGTTTCATAATTCTCGTCGTGAAATTGAGAATCTGCAAATAATGTTCTCTCGTTATGTGCACATATAATTATAATTATATAATAAATATGCTATTAATTTACGTTTAGAAAGGGTTAAAATATTTCTGACCCTTTTATAGAAAAAAATGATTGAGGCACGTGGTAGACGGGGGTGGGACGGGGTACGCGACGCGAGGCCAGATTCTCGAACGAAGCGAATGTTATAGGCAGGCATAATCAATTACCCGACATAATTCCGCATCGCGTTATGCATTTGGTCAAGATCGGCCGGCCGGAAGTGATTCGAGTAACACGATTGCGTACCAACTTTGCACTCGACGAGTGGCTCGCATCCCCGGATCCCATCGAAACGGATCCGACCCGATCCGATCCGATCCGGAACTTGTACAAATCGCGATTACATTCCATTATTCGCCAGCGGGAAGAGATACTAGCCAGGATCCGAATTCGGTTTTGTAGTTTTTCGAGAGTCAAAGATTCCCCAGTGGGGAAAAAGGCACGGAGGAAACAAAAAAGGGTCTCGTGACAAACGAGCGGAACGTGGCCACTATTCCGTATCAATTAAAACCGTCCCGAAACCGGATGAGAATTTAATCGGTCCGCCTCGGAAGGGAACGCAAAAAGTGCTCTGTACGAGCGGCGGTAACGCGTGTTGCGAGTCGGTTCCCGCGACAATCGGAAAATAGAAAAAGACTTGGTCCTTTTTCGCGTATCCATATCGGTCAAAAGTTTAGCCTTCGGGGGGATGTAAACTCCATTCTTGTGTACGGAAAACGAACAACCGATGCAGCAACCAGACCCGGAGGACGAGGAGGAGGAGGAAATGGAGGAGGAGGAGCAGTAGAAACGAGGGGGATGTTGGCGCACGCTACGATTGTTTCTCCGTAATCCTTTATTGGATCAACGGGGCTGAAACAATTGAGCGAGCTATAACGCGAGGATGGGCTCCGTTGCCGGCTATATGTATACATAGAGGCAGACGAGCGCGTCGGGTTTTCGGTCCGCCGGCGCTGCCGATGCTGCCAATGGGTCTCGCGGAGGTTGCGAAACGCGTGCAAGGGTGGAGAACCGGAGACCTACGTTATGGATAGATAAGCGATGATGGGAGAGGGAAAGGATTTCTATCCTACTTTGCTTCGGTTCAACGGAGTTACAAATGGGAGAACTTATCCGCGGCCGGGGACGACTCTCCTTCTCTTTCCGTTTCGATTTCGGTTTTACTCTCATTACTCCATCACGCGATTCAACCGTTCAGCTGTTTTCATTTTTATCAACAATAGTAAAACCTTCGGGACGTCACTTCGAAAAATGGATCATTCTAATCACTGCGAACTTCGGATTTTCTACAAATGCATCGAACCTATCAACCTAGTTTCAAAGGATATGAAAAGAATAGTTACTACGTGTTCGTTGAATGTTTCTATCTAAAGAGATCGTTATCGGATCTTGCAATTTCTCCACTCGTTGGGAAGAGGTTTTGCGCGTCACGTACAAGCGATATAATAACCAGGATCGTCTCCACTTTTTCTCACCTCTCCCGCTGTTACATAGTTGGAATCTATCTTTCTGACGATTTACCCAAGGGCTCGCGGGAGCACGTGAGGATGCTCTAGGATTTGGTGCGCATCGCTTACGGCTTAACGCTGATAAAACGCAGTTATTTATCTTTCGTACCTACGCGGCAAGCATCTTAAACGCAACAGTTCGAACTATTGTACCTATACGATTGAATGACTATGTACATGTGAAATCAGTCATCGATAGACCGCAAACTTTTATCCACTTCCATATAAAAAAATAACATACATATTAGAATTCATTTTTTAAATCGACGCCCCTACTCTTGCTCTGCGCATGAATCCGCATTCTAATCATCGAATGTAATCTTAAAAGACAGACGAGACGGATGAGCAATGGAATCGATAATTTCGATTGGTTCCGAAGCATAACGCGGGGCTAAAATCTGTAGCTAGAAAGCCGTAACGAATCGATCTGTTACGACATGCTCGTTCTCCGTTCGGGTTTGTTTGGACGTACAACGAGGTTTCACGAATATTATAAGCGACATATGTGCAGCGTTGTAAAAAGATCATAGGTCTATTCTCTGGGACACCTGCTCGCCCGTAAACGCACTCCCACACGTCGGACTTCCTCATCGATCACGATTTTATCTAGTTTACTTTAACGCGAGCTTCGAACACGAATCGCATGTTCGTTTCGCAACGCGTTTTTATCCCTGCATTGGTCGTTCATAAATAAATAAACATGGTTCGATCGATGTAGTTACAGATTAATAATTTTACGCGAATAAAGAAAAGTTAATTTCACTTGCCATGCATGTATCGTTATCGATTAAAATCTACCCTTTCTAACGTCTCGACTCATTGAATCATCTGACAATAGGTAAATCGACCCCCTTTTACTAACACCATCGTCGCGAAGCCTCTCTGTACACAGAACGTAATTACTTGAAATCCCAAACATCGTGAAAATTTGATCGCTACCCCTGCTCGTCGCGGTCCATTATATGTAGAGTTCCCCGATAAAAAATCTAATTTCTTTAAGCGCCTCGTACTTAATTCGTTACGCTATCCCGCTGCATACACGAAACAGAAGTCGTTAACGGATACCGGCTGATCTTTGATTGAGGACAGAGTAAATGTAATCGCGTCCCGACTTTCGGCAAACACGCGCGCGACAACGTAATCGTTCCACCACCGGCGGATGAATACTTCATCGTTCTGACGGAAGCGTCACGGTCAGCGATCGGCTCGGTATCTCGATACGTGCATCTCGACGATTAAATAAGTTCCGTTTCGTTTCGAAGCGGTGCGACACGAGGTGAACTCGTAATAAACTTACCGAGAAATTCGCGTGTTACACGCGCCGCAGTTTCAGTGCTAATTAAATGGTACAAATCGCAACTGTGCCAGATGACTGAGGACCTGTACTTGAAGTATACAGCACGAACCAAATTTATGGAAGCGAAAGTACTCGGGAGATGTTAAACTATTCTAAAGGCGATCGAGATCAGCGAAGGCTACGTTAATTATGCAACGACTCGGGCGTTTCTGTCTTAAAACATTAAATGAAATAACAATTCGTGTCGGCGTAACGCTTTAAATATGTATCGTCGCGTGTCGAATCCCTTTTCGCGTCACGAAACACTGAACCGTATGCTGATTTTTAAATAAGGCCCGTCACGCAGTACTTTCACAGAATTTGATTTAATCGATGAACCCTGTTCGAAATCAAATGACACAGAATCGGACCTTCGTTTATTGCCCTCTACTACTCGATGTTAATTGAAGTAATCCGTAGATCGGTATCGGTCCTAGAAACATTAAATAAACTAGTAAGTACCGGTCTTCCTTGTACAGATAAGAGATGCAGATTAGGAGGATTGTGGTCATCATTGCATAACTGATGAGTCGTTCATGATGATTGGATGGCCAACTTGCGTTGCTCTGTAACTGCGTTTAATGTCGACTCCCTGGCTCGGACTTACTGGAAATAACGTAACGAACTGTGTTTGTCTCAGGAACGGGAAGCCGAAAAGATAGCGGAGGAGGCAGCGGCTATGAGAGACGTCAAGCCCGAGCTTCAACCTGCGAGAAGTCCCGACACCTGGCAGGGAACCAATTTTTATCGACATCTGAGCGCGATAAAAGGTAGCGTAGAAATTTGATCCGTCGGTTCAGAGGTACGAACCGTCCGAAACAGGTTTAATCCGTCTTGGTAGTTTGATATTGGCTATTAATAATTAGCAGCGAGTATTTGAGATGGGGGTAAGATCGGAGCGGCAGTTTCAATTAATTAGAGTAATTAGTCGTGACCCGTGTTAACTGAAAACGACGGAGGGTTGGTTGGCCCGATATCAGACGCGGGGGTGGATCTTGGGACCGGTAATAACGCGAAAAGGGATTGCCCTCCTACCGTCGACGAGGAGGCGTGATTTTCGACCAACCGTCGTCGACGGCGACGCTTGCGCGTTTCATTCCGCTCATCGAGAACAGCTCGACTTTAATTTTTCTTTCCCCCGGGCTACGATTTTTATAATACCGTGCCAAATTTATAGGGACGCGTAATCGTGACGAGTCGTCACGTTACCGCGAGTGGGGTCATAAAACCATGGTTAATGGACCTTTTCTATTACATCACGGGTTTCCATAAATAGTTTGGAACGTAGGATCAGAGTAGATCGAGAGTACTTTGGCTTGTTAGAAATGCATAAAAATCTGCGGTTATTAATATCATGTTAGAACGAGTGTCTCGTACGTCAGGCGAAATCGACGGTAGCTGCCCTGTAGCTTTAAGGATGTATTGGCTATACAGTCAATCCCAAAAGTTTATGCACTTTAGAAACACATTTTTTAAAAAGAAATCAGACGTCGGAAGAACAATGCTAATAATAAACAACAAAAACAAATTTTTCAATTTTTTCGAGATTGTTCAAGGGGTACCCCTTCAGATTTGGCAAAATTTTCCTTTTTTGTTAATAACTCCCAAACCGTTGGAGATACGGGAAAATTGCATACGACCTTTCCTGTAGAGGACGACGAGATCTACAATTTTCATGTAAAAATTCTTCGCTAGCTTCAATAGTTTGCGAGTAATTTGCAAAAAACTGTTTTTTCGTTTTTCGTCAATAACTCGTTAAATATTGATGCTAACGAAGAATTTTTATACAGAAATTGTAGATCTCGTCGTCCCCTACAAAATGGTCCTATATATGCCCCCTACGTCCATCCGTTCGTGAGTTATTGAGGAAAAACGAAATTTTTTTCCAAAAGTTCGCTGTTTCAATGG